AGGAATCTTTTGGACTTGAAGCAGAAACAAGGCAATCTGAACGAGGCCAGAGACACGAAAAAGTTGGCCGACGAAGCAGAAAAGAGAGCATTAGCTGACAAGACGCAATCAAAACTGCTCTCCGTTTTCACGTTCGTCACTGTGATATATGTAAGATAAACGTATCGCACACCTTTCGTCACCTGCTCTAACAGTCATAGACTCCCCTGGCATTCATCTCGGCCCTCTTCGCCATACCCAGCTCAGATTACCCTGGAGGAAACAACGGCAATGGCGCAACATGGCGCTGGTGGCAGATTCTTGCAGGCTCCTGTGAGTCAAATCTACCTGCGCATCACACTATGTATCTCGAGCTAATCATCGTCTTGGAAAGTGGTTGCTGAAATCTTCACGTCCTTGCTTATCTTTGCGTATTGGTGGGGAATCCACAAGAAAGACGGCATAAAATCCAAGCGCTCGGGCAGGTCAAGGCTGATATCCGATCTTCCCAGGGCAATAACATGGGAGACGGATGAAGGAAGCACGGAGAAGAGTGCTCATGTCGAGCTCGTGGGTGTGAAGGTTGACGAGTAGCCAGAGGAGCGCAAGCGACGGTGTATCTCCACAAGTGAGAAAATACATGGGCATTTGTTTTTCTAAATAAAACTCCAAGTACCTTGTATTACGCAGAACAAGTCAGACCACTTCCGCGCAAGGCGTGCTCAGACCGATCCATGGATTTATGTACCCCGCAACTGGATAGCATGTCAAGCTCTATGATGCGATGGCGATCGAATAGCGGCTCGTATCGCTGAAGCCGTCGGTGGCTGCGTTTTCTAACTCGGACAGCTGGAAAGTCCAGGGGCCCGCCACGCCCGTTAGCTCGTCGTAGCCCGAGTATGCCGCGCACCCTCTGCCGACCGGAACAGCGGTCACGTCCACGAGGGCCACAGCCACGTCGTTGGGCGAGAAGTCGTGCCTTCCTTATTGCTCATGGATAAACGAGCGGCGGCCCAACGAAAGTAAGCCTTGGATTTATAATTTTCCTCGTGTAATAGTGTGTAACCTATGCACGGATGCGGCCTGTTCACCTTACTCCCTTACTATAAACGAAAGATCTGAAAGGTTGAATAGGTCATGTGATACCCCTCAGTGAGGACAGCTAACAGTACAGAATCCTTACGATCGATACCTTGCTCGATGCACCAGCCAAATCACCTTGTAGAAACTAAAGAAAGGTATTAATCAATTACTCGAAGCGAGAGTAATTGATTGATTAAGGTGCGACAACAATGCAGTCCGAATTGAAGAAGCAATAGATGGTTGATGATGCGGATTAGGTATGTAAGATTGAAGATTATGTCAAGGTACCAGGCGATCCGGGCGATACACCTAGCTTTACAGTAAAGTTTGGTACCTTTACGGAGGTTTATAACGTTTAAATTTAAAAATATAAAATAATTTAAGTTTTAAAAAAATTGAAATATTATAATTATTTATAAAAAAAAAAAATTTAATTTAAAATACATTATTTTTTATTTTATAATATTTAAATTATTAATAATTAAAAATTTAAGCTTTATTAAAAATAAATTTAAAGATTTTTTATATATTTTTTCTTTTAATGTAAGTTTTATATAAAATTCTTTCTTAAGGTTTTAAAACGTTATCAAGGTTTTAAGACCTTTTAAGCGCAGCGAAAAAGGTCCGCTAAGAGCTTAGACCCTCTAGTAACCATAAAAGCTTATAAAACGTGAGACTATCAACAGTCCCGCTTCACTCATATATTATTTCGCCCGAACCGCACTCTACGTTTGTCGCCCTGCTTCACATTTTACTACCTACCCCGACGACACCGTGCTTTAATCGGCGCATCTCGAGTTTGTTCCCACGGTTTGAGTGGTAGTTTCCTAGCCTGTCGTCGTCGTTGTGCCGTTCGGCTTGTCGAGTTCCCTTCTATGATCAGCACCTTTCGATAGATACGACAGCCAATATGTCAGACTCGGGGGCGCGCCTGTTCGGTCATCGTTCGAATTTCCCAACAGTCAAAGATATATACGACCTTCGCGGGCTTACGTTTTTTCTAAGCAAGCTCGAGCCTATCAATCCGGACCGAGGGGCGAGAAGCATGAGCGAGTATGGCCCCGTCGATCCAGCCAACAGCCAGTGGGCCCAGCGCAGCTTTTGGGAGTATACAAACCAATTCGCAAATATTCTGGTGCGGCACCACGAGGTACTAGCAATCATGCCAATACATCGCCGAGACAATCCATTCAGCCTACAAGTTCTTCAATCAGCAGAGCTCACGCAGGACGAGCAAGAGGACCTGATCTTCGATAACCAGATGACAATATCCGCAAACTACCGTCCGGATGATCGGCCGCAGGTCCCTGTCGTGGCTACACGGTCTAACTCGGTGCCATCTTTCAAACCCGTTATCGCTGGACGCGTCGAGGTCGACCGTGAATGCGAGGGATCTATTGCCGAGATGCTCATGCGACGGCTGCTCGGTCGAACTAAGACGAAGGGCCGGAATTCGTGGATTATAGACGAGGAATTCGCTGACCATTGCCAAACCCTCGTGCATCTCCTCAAGAGATCTCATATTCAAACGGGAGACAACACTGACGGTACGGTCAAGGGACACGCACAGCACTTTTGGCACTATGTTGTCGCCACTTCGTGTGCCAAGATACACAGCCGGTTCAATCGCGGGCTCATCGCGACCCAAGGGGTCACAAAGGAGGACCTGGGCAAGGCCGCGGGGCGCAATTTCTTTGCCGCTCTGGCCGTAGACGGTAATATGTGCTCCGCGCGCGGCCATGTCGAAGCGAATCACCACGAAAACCACCGTCTCGGACCGGCGGCTCGTGCATCGCTCGATGCCGTCCACAAAATGCTTGGCCGCAAGTTCCCTATCTTACAAGCACGCCTAGATGCTCGGCGATTCGATGCTCCCTTCTATGACATGGCTGGTCGATTACACTTCCAAGACCTGGTCTCGTGCGCGATCACCCTAGTAAAGCAGTCGCTGGGAGCCATCAAGCGGGCGAAGGGCGACGCCCTGTCCAGCATGTATAGGCATAAAGACAGGAAGTCCGGGACACGATACAGCGGCGCCTTTACTGACAAAATCCGCACGGCTGCTGACACATGGGACTCGAGCATACAAGACCTCGCCGAAGCCCTTGCGGTGCTTTGGAGTTTGGTGAACGAGTTTGGGGTGTTTGAAGCGCACCTAGAGTGGCTGGCGGCGGTCTGGAACCTCAATAACTGCCGGGTGACCTGGGGCGAGGCAAAAGAAATGGACATGTCCTGGGACGGATCGAACCCAGGCAGCGTGGCGAGCATCGGCCCCGCCACGGATCCGTCAAGCTTGCGGAGCTCTCCGGCCGCGAGCGGCTACACGACGCCTGCGACCCTTAGTCCCACCACGACGCCCACCAAACGGACTTCTCTGCATGGGCTAACGGCGATGACCTCGCCGCTAGTCCAGGCGCTACAGGACGTCGTGCTTGAAAGGGGCGCAGACGAGATCGCAGATGCGGACGTAGACGAGACTGCCCAGTACGATTGCCAGTGTGTTGCCGGCCACTGGGCCCAGGGTTGCAGTCTCTGGGTCAACTATGTGCTGTTGCACACAACAGCGGCCTTTGCTCTTCGGGGGTGCCGCCATCCAAAGCCCGAGCAGATGGCCGTTTCGGCGGCAATACGGTCTTCCAAGGTCGAGGTCATCGCCTTGGAGACATCCGCGCATGATCTATACAAGACATCCATTGAGGACATCCTCGCAGATACTTTCATACTCAACAACGAGGACTATATCCTAACCGACGCTCAGAGAGACACGATACGACAATGGCTTACCCGCCAGTACCCCGAGAGCGTAGAGAAGCGAAACCTGCTGACTAGCAACCGTATGGAGGGTAGGGTTCCTCACTGCGAAACGGTATTAACTTCACTCCGGTACCTTGCGAAAGAAATCAAGAGGAAGCCATTAATCTTGGTATCAGAAGACGAGGCCGTCCCTGTCGAAAGAAAAGTCGAGCTGCCCGCAAAGGCCATTCTGGACTCCTGTCTTGATCTCAAGCCGGCCCTGTCAGTTAGTAAGCTCTGCTGTCCGGTCTGTACGGTCTGCATCGGTCCGAGCGGTAGTCTCCGCCACCACATTGAACTCTGGCCGGGTAGCCACACAACTTGGTCTACACTCGATATGCCAAACTGGGTGCCAGATGAGGTTTGCCAACGAGCTCTTGATGCAGCGCGCCGCGCTTTGGGAATACGGTTGCGCGATATTGTTCTAGAAGCTGCTGGGCCTACAGCAACACGATCACCATCGCCGGAAGTGACAGGCTCGTCACCAGTCGGGGGAGTAGACGCAAGTTACAAACATCCCTTGGACTACTGGGTTGAGGATAAAGGAGTGGGGACATTGTATCCAAGTGGAGGTCTTGTGGAAAAGGCGACAAAGGCAGACTCAGAGACGAAGGCTGATCTCAACGATCCCGACCACTCCGCCAAGTCGTTATCCCCGGTGGATCGGGAGTGACGTCGCTTCGACAAAGATTAGATATGGCAGTTGCGGCGTACGGCAAGTGTGTCATTACTTGTGTCGTCGACGAGCTCAATTAAGGTCATGCCAACATAGTAGTCTTATAAGGTTAAAAAAATTGATATACAGCTAGCTGCCTTTACGGCGGTGGCTAAAACAACGCATGGAAAGAAGGACAGTATTATATTATGCTGTAGACGGTAATTAAAAGACAGAAGCTGATTTAAACCAAGAGGAAGTATCGTGACTGACCCAGGTTATGGACCAAATTTTATTTATTTTTTCGTTATGTTGTTTATTTCGTAATCCGTGAAAAATGGCTCGCATGTTTGATTTTAATATGTCACGACGAACGTAACGAGGTAAGCAACTTTTCGGAATAGCTGCGGTATGGCCGACATTGAGCGGGGTAGCTTGTGGGAAAGCCAACATAATATGACGTAGCACATTATTTTTTCATAAGCAGTCAGCCCCTGTAGCTCAGTGGTAGAGCGCGTCACTCGTATTTCCCGACATGACGAGGTCCATCGTTCAATCCGGTGTGGGGGCAGTCGCTTATACTTATTGTCTACCAGTCAGTCGTGCCTTCCGTCCCGTCAATTCAATGTTTTTTTTTTTTTTATCTAAACCGTCGTCCTCGAAGTATACTTCGATTGTTATTAAAAAATAGAAATATTAGTACGACGGCCTTTGATAAGTCATTGCACACCCTCAGTCATGTTTTTCACTTCAGTGAGGTGGCCAAAGCTCTGCGCTCCGACTGCGATCCGTACAACACGTTTGGTGGTTCTTCGACATCTAGAAAATCGGTATACCTAGGTACGAGATACACGATGGATACACGTCACTGTCGAGCAGCGACCGTGGTGCATCCCTCGACCCAGACGAAGGAACTCGGGGTAGCACTCATGCACGTTGAATATTAATTTGAATATTAATGAGAATAGAGTTATTGAACTTCTGGCAGGCCAAGGCTAGACCAGAGGTCGTGAAAGCAGCCGCCCGTCTCTCCTACCTATAAGCTACCGTCCGTCCCATTGTGGCGCTTCTCCCTGGCAGGCCTACCGAAATGGAGCAAGCGGGAGCAGGCGGGAGTTATCTGGTTTCGTTACGACAGCAATACTATGCGTGACCAGTCATCTAGGCCATGGGCATCATCCGACTACGACCCAGCGGGCGACTGCGTATGCGCGCCGGGTGATTGACTCGAGATCGCCTCACGGCAAGATGATCCCACGCCGGACTCGATGCAAGATGAGGATTCCTGAAACGCCACGATTAGAATTCAGCTACGGACATTTTCACAGCTCTGACACACCAATCAGAGACGCCGCCCGCCGGGAGCAAGCTGTTTTCGTCTCGGAGCATGCGTCTATTACGTGTCGCCATAGGGGGAGGGCTGAAGCACGTACCCGTCTCGCGGCTACCTGCAGCTGATCGGCCAGACTGGAGGGAGCCACCAGTCCACACAGCCGCTTAGAAGAAATGGGCATTTTCCTGGGTTCCACGGCTGGAAATCTTTGATCCAGCTCGGATTTTCCAGACTTTCTAGAAGACGAGGAATTCCCGAACAGGTCCATGTTCGGGCCGTCTGACCGCCAAACGACACTGATCATTCCAGGTACCTTCGTACCTACCTTGCCTGGGGTGTCACATATTGCGCCCTGCCAGCGACCAGCCCCTATCAACATGGCACAGTGGCGCAAGAGAATTACGAAGCATGAGATATAGCGAGGGGGGTGGTCTTGGAGGATCTAGTGCATCTGCTGGGACTCAGCGAGCTTCGCGATTCGTTGGACGCGTTCGGGCTACAGCCTGATGCCTGATATGAGCTGCAAGCGTGACCACGCATGGAGTGATACAGCTTTCAGGTGGCTTGAATTAGGGTATCTGATGCCAACGTGCCACAGGGAGGAATGGAAATGCCAGTTGGCCTTGTTCGCGAATCATCATGTCGTCAGGCCGCGCGGGAGGGCGAGTCGAGGGCCTAGGAGTCCGACGGCTTGCTTCTATCTGATCGTCCAATACGACAGATGTCCACTGCATGAGATGTCGCATGGCGTAAGTCGGTGAGACATTTTGTCGACGCAGACCGCCTGATTCGGGTAGAGTACCTTGCATAGGGCAGCGAGGACCAGAGTGCCGGATTCGAGTCTTGCTATTCCTGTGTCCTAGGTATATATAAGAGTAGTCCGTGGACTTGTGAACACGGAGGATATTCATGGTGTCTTAGGTAGCCTACAGTCGTTGAGCTTGAACTCCAAACCTACAGATCCAAGCAAACTCTCTTCTTGATATCATTTGAGAAAACAATCGACATGCCGTCCCAATCAAAGAAAACCGCGTTGGACTCCGAGACGATGGAGGAGAGACGGATCTTCGGCTTCGGCCCTGACCACAGCATGCCTTACTCCTGTTCCCACTGCCTCGGCACTCCCAGAAAGTGAGCTGACACCATTACCCCCCCTTTTCTGCGCCATCGACATGAAGCAAACATGGCTGATGAAGTGCCTTCTGGTAGGGTCAAGGAATGCCGGGCTTGCAAAGGCACGGGCTTGATGTGGGACCCGAGTTTGGGCAGCATCTACCAAGGGAAGGAGAAGCGGCAGATGGCCTCGGGAGGATCTTCGTCTTCTCCTGGGAGCTCCTCGTTGTCCTCGTCGTACAGTCAAAGGCGCTGAGAAACTTCGTCGCGCTTTGAATGTTTTGCAGTTATTCGTTCTGTCTCTCTGGATGCGACTACGGCGTTACAGCTGGGCATGGTATAACACGGGTATAAGGGGATATGGGGATATGGGGATAACGGGATAGGAGTTACCGGTCGACACGGAGTGGATTCTCGGGGTTTGGTATATGCATGGTGTCTGGATTTAGTATGACGGTACTATGGACTTTGACCTACGGCTGCGACGAGCTGCGACGAGGCATTGACTGCCGTGTAATAGAATTTCTTATTTGACGAGACGCTTGGTACACCTTTCTGCCCTGAACAATGAATCATGAATTTGATGCTTCTGACGAAACGAAAACCGATGTAACAGGGAGAACATATCCTCCTCCATTGCGGCTTTCAACAAAATCAATCTGAATTTAGAAACTGGACTGGTGATGCTCTTGAGTGAGTGCCCGAGTAGTGAAGAGAACTTTGGGATGCTCTTTGGTTTGAGGTCCCGTCTACTCGGTCTCTCGCTACCGTTTGGGAGAGGTATGTTCAAAGGATAAACGGTCACATCATTGGAGTAACATATTAATACCTCCAGGTCAGGCAATACTCGCACTGCCAGCCTCTACTCGAACCACTAGATAGGTACTTAGGTCTGTACGAAGTACGTACGAGGAAGATCTCATCAGGGGCAAGATTACAGAACAGCGAAGTGAGTGCTCCCTTCTTGTAGCTACGTCGTTGTGGACTTCCCAATACTGATGTTATATTCTGATGTACCAGGTGTCCTTATCCAATATTCAGTAGACAACGATACAAGCTTATCCTCTAGCTAGAAGTGAGCCTCCCATAGCCTGAGGAAAGCATTTGCTTTCCATTCAGTAATCCTGGACGACAGCTAGACCGATTGGTGCTGTATGTGTCCTATGTGTCTTATGTATTGGGTGGCCTACACCCTCATGTGTAACCAATACCTCGCCTTGGTACCGTCGACGAAGGATCCTCCACATCCATCACTTTCACGACGGTGCCGCGGCTTGCCCTGACCCTTTGCTATCGTTCCAACTACGCTGCCAGTTGGTGGTCCGCGCAGCTTTAATGGGTGTAACGAGTAACTGTAGAGCCATACACGTCTTGAGCGGTATGTTCCGACCTAACTACAAAGAGTTCTTAGTCTTCTCGGCCCATCCGGTCTTCGCTATGTGTTCGCGTGGCTAAGGCCAGTACATGTCGATGATATGGCTTCCGTATATCAACGACAGATCGGCCGTCACGACCCGGAACAGCTCATCGCGATTCTCTGGTAACATGTTGGTGGGCTCGTCATGTCCTTATGTTTCGAGACTTTGGGTACACCGTCTTGATGGCACCAGGTGCAACATTGGATATCTTAACCGGCGTTGCGAGCTGAGTCGAGAGCTGGACTTTGATCAACGTGGGACGGGGCCAGCGCATGAAATCGTCGTGCTCTATTCGCGGTTAGGAGTCAGTATTGTCTTAGCGGAGAGAAGCAATATACTTACCCCCATTGTTCTTCTCCGTATGGTGTTGATGATGAGGGTGACCTTTGTCGCGGCGCAAGTCCTTCGATCGGGCTATCATATAGTTCAAAGCTGAAATTCTGTACGACATTGTATAAAGCTTTTATTTTGCAAGCCAATATAGATAATGTTGCGGCTTGTTCAGGAGATGACTGTAATAAGCAGGCGACGATTTAATACCTTCTTAACAGTGAAAATTTGAACATCCCAAGAAGTCGTATGTGATAGGTTTTAAACCAATGCTTCCGTGAACTGACATTGTTGCATTTACAGACGTTTCTTCCATAAATAATTCCATTTACGTCAAAAGGCTTCCACCTCGCGTTCTGCTACCCGTAACGGTCTATGCTCTCCCATAGCATACTGGAGATCTACGCCGCAATCTCGCGACGTCTCAGTTGTCAAGCTTAGAGAGAAGACCCTCCCCAGTGCCGTTTAGAGCCGCAGGCGGATTTAGCGTGCTGGGGGTGCCTGATTTTCTATTCGGATTCCCCGAACGGCACGGGGAGCCCTATCAGATAACACCGTCTGAAGTTGACAGCTTGCAGAGAGGCAAGTTGTAGCTTGCATTATAAAAGGCTAACGGCAACTTATGTAGTTCGATGCTCGATACGGGTCGGTAAAGAGCAGATTCGAACTACTACTAACCCGATACATTTAGGTAGTCCTACATATTCTGCCCTGATTCAGTCTTGTTATAAATATTTATGCACACGCTGGCAGAACTGACGTAAATAGGATGTGAAACATCAAGATCAACTGCGCCGTGGGAAAGGCTCCATCTTCCAGAATAGGATCTGGACAACCTCCAAAAGGGCGCTTAGCGCTGTCGAAGGATGCACCAGACGTCTTCCCCCTTATTCTAGACGTTTTCTAGAAGTTTTCTAGGTCCTGCAGTGGTCCCACCTTGGAAGAAGGATCGCCCTATAGTCCTTGGCATCCCTGGGGTGCCTGGCACGCGGATTGAACCCCTTTTTGGGACTCTGGTTGCCCCATACTTTCCCTTTAAGGTCACTTGGGGGCCATGGCTCGATCAGCATCGAAGAAAAGCAGGGCGAATGTTGGAAAGGCTGTGGGTATCATCGTCATCCGATGTGCCTTAAGGCTTAAACAAATCCAGCTACCGAGAAGCCCAGTTTCCAGAATCTTTCCCCTTTTGATATAGAGTATCATTGTAGCTAAGAAACTTGTACCCACTATTGAATCTCAGCAGCTTGCAAGTTGCAACTCCTCTTAGATCAGAATGCCCGACCAACAAAGACGTCATACCAAACCAACAAGAGGATTGAATTGAGGAGATAATTGATCACAACCACGGTTTGGTGGAAAAGGACCGTATCATACATT